AGGGGGTAGTCCTGTTGTAATGGAGATGCAAATCCCTGCTGTGCGTGGCTGATGTGCTGAGTCAAACCATACCAAGCCAAGCCAGCACATGAGTATGGAAAAAGGGTAAAATGAGAGTGCCAAGGCTGAGATGACATCATCTTGGAGCACCGGAATCACAAGTGTCAGACTCTTGCCCTATTTTAAGCTTTTCAGTTGGTTTCTTCACTGGGTTTGAGACAAACGTACCTAAATGTAGGAACCCCTTTACAGCCAAGCCTTAGCTGTTGAAATGAAGAGTTGGCATTTGTCTGAAACTACTCCATCCAGTTACTTATAGGATTGTTGTAGAAGAGGGGTCGTCTTGTGGATCTGGAATCTTCTTGCAATGACTGGCGTGTACCCATGTAGCAATCTCTATGATCACTACTGATTCCAAGGTCAGGAGCACTTGGTGCGGTCTGCTCCACCTGGGAGATCGCCAACCCTTCCTCCTGAAGTCCTTTAACACAATCCAGTTACCTGGCTTCAAGCTGTATCATTGGCCTTCAACATCCTGTGGTAAGGCATATTTTACCTGTCTGTGAAAATCACAAACCATAGTAGGTTTACATTCATTCATTCCTTCATTCATTATCCGTAACTGCTTATCCTGATAAGGGTTGCGGTTGCAGCTGACATTGGGCGAGAGGCAGGGTACACCCTGGACAGGTCGCCAGACAATCGCATGGCTAACACATAGAGACAGACAACCATTCACACTCACATTCACACCTATGGCCAACCTAGAGTCACCAATTAACCTGACATGTATGTCTTTGGACTGTGGGAGGAAGTCGGAGAACCCGGAGAAAACCCACACTGTCACAGGGAAGAACACGCACACTGCACACAGAAGGGCTCCCCCACAGGTATGAACCAGGAACCTAAGTCCACATCTACTTCGAATCCTACCTCTCATATCAGGGTCCGACGTTAAGGTTTTTTCCTGTGTGGTGCATATTTTCGCTCATGACTTATATCTTATGTCAGCAGAGACGTTCAGCCAATGGAGGCAGCAGCACATAAAAAAGCAGCACACTGCAACTGGCCCCTCCGAGGACAGAAACAGGAGAGGAAATACACGATTACAGGCCTGGAATTAAAGGGATAGTGCACCCAAAAATGAAAATTCAGCCATTATCTACTCACCCATATGCTGACGGAGGCCCTGGTGAAGTTTTAGAGTCCTCACATCCCTTGCGGAGATCGGCGGGGGGAGCGGCTAGCACACCTAATGGCTGACAGCGCCCCAGACTAACGTCCAAGAACACAAAATTGAATCCACAAAGTATCTCCATACTGCTCATCCGTAGTGATCCCAGGGTGCTGCAGCCCCGAGATAAAAAGTTGTTTTGAAAAACGTCATATGAACTCACTGTACTGAACACTGTAGCCTGTAGCTCTGACTGCTTCTCTGTGCTCTGCGTTCATGTGTGCGCGCCTGCGCGAGACCAGCGAAAGCATGAGCTTTGTGTTTACATCACGTGACACGTGCACCGCAGGGGAGACAACAGTAACCACAGTAGCTAAAAGATAATTTGCACTACGGTCTTTTAGCAAAGGACAGCCCAACATGTCTGAAGACTTTGAAATTGAGGAGGAACAGCATTTCTTTGTTGAGCCGTATTTGTTTGAGCCCGAGTATACAGACGGAACTCAGGCTACTGGACGAAGCAGCCGCCGCAGCTCATGAGCCTAACCCTCAGCCAGCCGCTGAATACCGGAGTCGAGCACTGGAAACCTGGTGGTGTAGTTGTTTCAAATGCAAAGCAATGCCAACGGATGAGGAAAGTCTTTGCTGCTCAGACTGGGAATTGGCGATGCCTGCACTTGAGAATCTGGACATCAGTACTGACGAGACTGCTGCTCTTCAGAGACCGTGCATCACCGATCACCCTGAGCGCGCACACGTGAGCGCGGAGCACAGAGAAGCAGTCAGAGCTACAGGCTACAGTGAGGCTAAAAACAGAGTTCATATGACGTTTTTCAAAACAACTTTTTATGTCGCGGCTGCAGCACACTTGGATCACTACGGATGAGCAGTATGGAGATATTTTGTGGTTTCAATTTTGTGTTCTTGGACGTTAGTCTGGGACACCGTCAGCCATTAGGTGTGCTAGCCGCTCTCCCCACCGATCTCCGCAAGAGATGTGAGGACTCTAAAACTTCACCAGGGCCTCCGTCGGGGTATGGGTGAGTACATAATGGCTGAATTTTCATTTTTGGGTGTACTATCCCTTTAAGTCATTTTTAGGGCAAAGCCACTTTGGCCTTTGATAAATACAAATTTATTGGGGCATCACGGCCAAAATGTGGGGCACCAAGGCCAAAACCAATGGCGCAATAACAATATGTGCTAATTACACTGAATGAAGACAAAACAATATATGTAATATATGTGATGAGTCCGGGGACCAACTCCAGTTCTTTTGCCAATGCCAGTGGTCAGGGTCACTGACAGGAGTATTCACCTAACATAGCCTACATATCTGTAATTATATAATTATTTATATGTCTCTATGGATATTTTTACATAAATCCCCAATATTTAATTTGCCTTTAAAAAAATCCTCTTCCTTCATTTAATTTGACATTGTTTATTGTATTTTATTATATGTTTTAATTCTCTACAGGATCTTGTATGTTCTTTAATGTGTGTTCAATTTATTAAAAGAAAAAAACAAAAAAAAAAAAAACGTTTTGGTGAACCCTGCAGCAAAGTGAACCCTCTTCTTCAGAGAGGATCTTTGCCTCCCAGTTTGTTCCTGGCGACAGAGCAGAGTGAAGCGTCTTTCTTCTCAGAGGATCTTTGTCCCATGAGAGCAGGCAGCTGTTCTCCGTGTCCGCATTTAAAACATCTTTCGTTGGTGATTTGACAGTCACTAGAAGCACATTATGACCCTTTGTAAAAGTTTCTGTGTGGTACCTGTGTTGTACATGAGCTAACGTTAGCGGGTAAGGACTGAGAGGCTGTCCGGTATGTGTGTGTGTCTGTCTGAGGAGTGTCAGTACATTAACTTGTTAGCCGCAGCCTTGCTGTTTGTCATGTTAATGTTAAAAAAACAGGGCATGCTACACTGGCCGTATGGGTAGGAGGGGCATTACGGCCACACTCTATACCGGCTATACCACGGCACTGGCCGTTTGGCCGTGGTATAATTCCTGCTCTGCGATTAGAAAAAAAATAAATAAATAAAAAAATTCCAAGTCGGTGCTGCTTGCCCGATCGGGCATGTCTGCGCAGGGTCTGCTGGCCCGCTGGCTATTTTTATTTGCCCCGGGCATTCGGGCAACCGTTAATGTCGGACCCTGCATATACATTAGAACTAGAGGAAGTAGTTTCCCACTACAGTTCCTTTTACATCAAATATAGTCTTTGGCCCATTTTTGATGTAAAAACAATGTTTAGTGGGGCTTTAAATTTAGTTAACTCTATGTCATTTGATTGCAATACTTACACATCTTTGCACCACATCTTTTTGGAAGACCAAATATTCGTTGTCACTTAACTGTTTGCTAAATTGAGATCCTGTTGGAGGTTTCGTCAGGGTTCTGCTGCAACAGTTGACCTTCTTACTGAAGGCCCATATTGTTTTTGAGGCACAAAAAGTCCAATATTACCCATGGACCACGCCAAACAATGAAAGTCCTTTGCAAAACATCAAAAATGCATGTCTAAAAATGGAAGAGAAGCTTTTCTTCTTTTTGACAGGCTGCCATTTTTGAGATTTTTCTGAAGGGTGCTGATGATGTGCAGCACTGCCTGTCATCATTAATAGTTCTGTTGGGAAATGGAAGCAGCAATTCAGGCAATCTGAAATCATTTATCACGGACTAATCACGACAAGGCAATTCTGACAATCACAATCAGTTGTTTGTTTAAGGCACGACACAGAAACTCTTGTTAGTGCATTGAAACATGGCTGTGCAAATGAGCTGTCAACAAGACGTCACAGTACAAATCAGGTTTTAGATCTGAGAATCATAAAAAAGACATGAGAAAAGAACTTGAATCCTACATGATCATTTCTATTAATGAAGCCCATAACTACTGATTTTAAACCTTTTGCTGTACAGTCTGACTTTTACAAGGTGAGGCTTTACAGAATGCTGCTTAAAAGGAATAGAATATTATGAGAATTATGATAATTTGGTTTCCATCTAAGAGTGAGATGAGAAGATCTACACTCCCCAGGAAGTCAGAGATGTCGCTAGAAAAAAAATTATGGCATTGTTCTGAAAACCACGAATATGTTAAATTTGTATGTTTCATATGTATCATTTTGAAGTTATAGAGTTCTGATTACATGTATATGAGCTGACTTTTTCACTAAGAGGTGAAAGGGGTGTTGGATGGTTGAAGACCTAGGTGAAACACTACTGCAGACACAACCACCGCAGACCACTGTTCCAGACCAACAAACAACAAAATCAGTTGTTTTTAACGAGACATTGCTACATTTCCAGCTGCTATTGGGGTGTTTTCTTAAACGAGACATCACAGCATTTTCAAGAAGCGCAAGATGTCTGCCAAGCTGCTGATCACCCTAGACCACAGTTCGAAACAAATAAAAAACAGCATTTTCAGTGATGATTGTGGCACCAAAGAGATTGAGGCTATTTTAAGACAAAACATGATCTTTTCCAAACCATAACCAAATGTTTTTGTGCCTAAATGTAACCAATGTTAACAGCATTGTTAAAATGTACAATTTCAACATATTTGCTACATAATAACATACAAATGTCATATATCTGTGGTTTGCAGAAATGTACAATGCCAACATTTATTCTGGTGATTGGGTTGGAGTAGGCTAGCTCACAGTAAGAACAGGAAACAGCTAACCTGGCTAGGTTCACACCTAACAAGCAGACTGAAACAAGCAACATGTTTGATCTGAATATTCCTCATCAGTTAAATAAAGTGTTTCTGTGAGTTCTGTTGAAATTGAAATAAAAAACACTTTTTTCCAAGAAAAATACCTTTTTATTTCATTATAAATCCACATAATTGTATCTATGAAAGCATAAAATCCCCATTTCGCATGTTGTTGTGTTTTTTTTTCTCCTTGTTGTGGTCATTTGTTTCGTTATATTCAAAGTAAATCATGGGTATCAAACCATCGAAGACTGTAAGGTGTATGTCACATACAAACACAGACACTGTCAAACGGCAAAGGGGGAGCAAGGGAGGGAGGGAGGGGATGGGACAGCGCAAGTTCTGCTGGCCATCTTTTAAAACCGCTTAATACATTTAACTATCTCAAGTGCCAGCTTTTAGTAATAGGAACACCAATGGTCAAGTTCACCAGTGTTTCGTACAGGTACAGTTACTTTCCAGTGTCAAACGGAACATCAGAATTCACCATCAAACGTAGAGCTGGACGTCTGTGCTTGAAGTTTGGCTTTGAATAAATCCTCACAGGAGTTCCTCAAGGCTCCATTCTTGGGATGCCAAGGTTTTTATTTTTTATTAATACTCTGACATAGAGAGAACCAATCCACCATGAACGCAAACACACTGATTATTTCAACATTTTCTGAGTCATTCGCAGCCAGAAGAGTTAGATTGGTAATACTGGAGAGTATACTATTCAGTTGTTCATGAAAGTGAGAGAAAGAGAGAGAGTGAGAGAGACAGAGAAAGAGAGATAGAGAGAGAGGGAAGGTGAAGACATACGATTAAAGTGCCAGAGAAGTTCACCGTTTAGTTTGACAGTTTGTTATTACTGATGCTTTGAGACAAGACGTTGACAATGTGCTCGTATTTTCAATCCAAGGCCCAACATGAATTTTCTCTTTGACTGCTAAGAGATAATAGAGCGGTGTGCTTTTGGAAATCTGCATATTCTCCCGATATTGTAGTAATGCTGTCATAATACTGTAGTAATCCTTTGGCATATGACTGTATGCTGGGGAAAGAGAGGAGCGGTGCCACCGAATCCTAGAGGAACCACAATCTAGGAGATCCTGGAAAAATGTCATAAAAGGGTTTTTTCAGTAATCCGTTCAGTGAATTCCCAGAGCAGCATTGAGGGTGGATTCTAACTGTCAAATGCAGAGGTTAAATCCACACGACACCCTTTAGAGCCCCGTCTGATCATTGGATATTTCCTTCAGAAAAGAAGAAGAGATTCAAGACCATGTTCACTCCAGTTCTTCTGATCCAAGGTTTCAAGCCCCAGTTAAGCACCGAACATGAGCAGAGTTCAACATCCAGAGCCTAACCTGTATCCAACATGTCTGATTCAAACGTCCTGCATGTCAACAGGAAGGCTGTTTATTCTCCTCTGACTGCCCACAGAATGTTCACATCGCATCCCTTCTGGTTCTTGAGTGAGGTGACCTCAGGCGTGAGGTGGCTGTGTCTCTGGGTCAAACACTTGATCATCGGGGCTCATTAGGAGAATGTGACCATGCAATTCACTGGGGCACCTGAAGGAGAGAGGAGAGGGAGACAGGTAGAGACTGAGTGATTGATTTCTGTAATTTAAGATGCATTAAGTTTGCTTTTTGTGTTGTAGTTGGACCTGTTTTTTGGAAGCAGTTGAAGAAGTTTTTGAATACTTTGCTGAAATAAACCATAGCTCAATTTAAAAATACTCCATTAAAACTCCTGCATTAGTAAAAGAATGGAAGTTTATCAGCAAAATATACTTTAAGTACTGAAAGTAAAAGTATTCATACAGGAAAATGGCTCTTGTCACAACATTCTGTTGTTTAGTCATTATAATTAATGCATTAACTTGCGCAGCATGTTAATGAAGTAGCTGGTAAAGAAGAATCTAATTAATATATCTTTTATATACTGCTGGATAGTGACAGTGCATCATATTTTACAAACTGTAATTTTGTGAAATCTTAAAGCATCCCATAACTACAACTGCGAAAAAATGGAGTGCAGTATGAAGTACAATATTTAGAGGAGAGGCCAGCCCTGTAAATACGAAAGTCTGTCCGTGAGTGTGTGATGAAGTTATGAATGGTTGGAGTGACTGATAACATCAGTGTTGGTGTTTCCCTATTGGCTGTTTCTCTTTTGAAATAAATAGGTGTTTATAAGCTGACAGAGCCATGGACGCTGACAATCCTGTATTACCGTATTTCTCATTTTCTGTAACCAGTGTAGCATGATAGCATGGTGGAATTAGCAAAATAGCTAGCTAACTTGCCAGCTGCTATGAGTTAAATGGAATAACTTAATGCTTCATGCACACACTCTTGTCACAGTTTAGGAAAGCATGTTGCTGTCATCAGATGAGTGACAACTTTGTTCAGCTCATTCTCTGCAACCACTGTAACATTAGCATAAAACCATGGTGGAATTGGCAAGCTAGCTAGCTGGCTGTAGGCCAAATGGTAGTTTTGGACAGAGGAAAGAGTTAGTTTGTTTGAGAAAAATTCTTGTCTACTCTGTATGACACAACCCTTTAATTAATTGAAACAGTACTGACCATTACATGTTACAATATCAGAACAGGTACTGCCACCATTATGAGGTGTAAGTAATAAACTGAAGTGAATATTATGTGTTAAAATGACACAAATGCCCAGGAGGTGAACTGGCACCTCTCCAGCCACCAGTCCACGCTCCATATTTGGTTGGACTGGAACTGGCAACCCTCTGGTTTCCAACCCAAGTCCCTATGGACTGAGCTAGTGCCAATGAAGTGGGGAGAGGAGAGCTGTGTTGAATAGAGCAAAAAGGAGCTGATTAGTGGGTACTGCATCAATCAGGGACAGCTCATGCCAGCTAACATCAAAACAAATGAAAGTCTGTGACTGGGTAACTGTCGGCCACTTCCTGTTTCAAATTAAAAGTCCTTGTTTTGAATTAAAAGCCCTTCAGCATTTAATACACAGTCCAGCCTTATACTAGGTTTAGACCTCGTCTTGTTGCATTAACAAAGTAAAATTATGGCTTCTGAACAGAAATTTATTCTGTTGTTCATTTCTTTTCTTACTCTTCTCACTTATAAGTGAACTTGTTTTTCATAAGCTGGACTCCTGTGGAGTTCTTTCCATTATAGTGTGCAGGTTTCTTGAGCATTTGCTTGTTACCTACACACTTGAGACATCCCAGTTTTTGGACGAAAGAAGAAAAATGCAAATGTCCTCTCCCACCTTTTCCAGAATCATAGAAAAACCCACAGTATCTGCAGGGGTCCATAAAGTTGTTTTTCAGTACTGATGACTCAGTGACTGCTTTGCCAGCTGCTGAGATTTCAGGCTTTAAAAGCCATTTCCTTCCTATACTTTGCTTTGGAAACTACCCCCTTCACACCCACAAAATATTTTGAACTTATGGTTGAAACACAGATGAACAAATGGGCATCACAACACTTTTCTTTGCCTGGTAAATAAAGCAGATGGTAAAGCTGCACTCTGGTGCGTGGTGAGATACTGCTATTAAAAAGGTGTAGGAAAGTGAAATGCAAATGACAGTCAACTGTGGTCAGGAGGAGATTTATACAAAATATAATATATAAGTCATCTTTGGGAGAAGGGAAGTGCTTTAAAATAAACTCTCCATGTCAATAAGCACTTAAGACTTCAAAAGTGTATACATGCATTTGACAAGTGAGAATTTTGCATAATGAGGTCTTGAATGTGCTACCAGAAGACTTTAATTATGTCATTAAAATAGATTCACAAATCAATATATTTTAAAAGCTCTGAGTGGTCAACTGCTAAGTATTGTGGCCAATCAGAGCTCATGCTGCCGCCCTGTAGGTTTGTCATTGTCTTTTTTTCAATTAGAGCAAACATAAATTGTGAGATGCAATATAATGGGCAGCCACATAAGCAAATGCAATAATGTATCATTTAAAGATAAAATAAGGGAATTATTAATTGGAAAATGTAACTTTTTTTTTACCATTATTACCTCAATATAAATTTATGAATGCATTGTTTAAATGTAAACTGAATGACTCAATTTATAATCCTTCATAACATTTATCAACTATTTCACTGAGAAAAAAAAAAATACCGTAAAGGTCTATAATTAATCAGATGGCACACTAGATTAACTGTAGCCCAGTCACCAAAGAAAAACATTCTGTCAACCATGAATACATGACATTTGTACACTTCATACATATCGTGTCTAAAGTGACGCAGTATATGATATGTCATTGGGAGGTGGAGGGGATGGTGGATGGCGTGTCACCAGGACTAGGTGAGACCGCTGCCAAGCTGCAGACCACTTTTCAAGAGCAAAGAACAACAAAACTGGTTTTGTTTAAGCGGGTCATTGCTGTGTTTCCAGCAGCTTTTTAGCCTCCAAACATAGGTGCTTTTTAGAGACCCATGGCTGTTTTTGACCCACGGCCGCCCTTATTTATTTGAGCCAGAATACACTGACGAAGAGCGGAGGAGGAGGAGAGAGAGGCACAACAGGTAGAGGACGACAGAGGAGGAATGGCTGCTGGAAGGATTTAGCTCTGGAGATTGGTGGTGTAACGTTACCTGTGAATGCTGTGCCCCAATGCCCACAGAAGAGGAATACCTCTGTTGCAAGGAATGGGACCGGTTGCAGCCTTAGCTAAATGGTAAACAACAAACATGGCAGCACACCGGTAAGGTAAGACAACACGTTTACATGTCGTTTTCTATATGTTCTCTGACATTTATCCTAACGATATGAGGCGGTCTTTGTGGAGAAAAAGCTTGTTTAGTGGACTAACTTTGCACTTGAAAGGATGCCCGTTCACTTACGTTTTAACAGGTCTGACGCTACGGCTGTATCTAGGCTAACGGCTAACATGCTAACTATTATTTCTATGTCACTAGTGACTTGAAACAAATTTAGGACGATAGGAGACGGGCTGAAATAAACCGAAATTTCCCTTTAATGTATTCAAACATTCATATAAAGCAAAGGTCTACAGCTGTAATTTGCTCCAGTTTTGTTGTTCTTTCTTCAGCAGCAGCAGATTTGATTTTCAGTAGTATGTTTCACTGCAGCTAAGAAATGAGCTTTGGCCTGTCGGGTGTCTGTCTATATGTGATGATGGAGAGGAGGGGAGGAGAATCAAGGGGTGTGGAAGGACAGAAGGTGAGGAGGGAAAATAAAAATGAGAAGAAGAGAGATAACAGTAAGGCAAAGAAATGGGATGAGAGTGGAGGAGAAGAGGCAGTGGGGGAGAAGAAGTAAAAAGACTAGAACAATAAGTTAAGGATGAGTAAAGGAGAAAGACAGAAAGAAGGGGAAAGAGAGAATAGAGAGTAAGTAAAGCAGGTAAGATGAGAGAAAAGTTGCTGAACAGTAAAGGAAAAAGGAAGAGGGAGGAGAAATCAAAATGAAGGAGAAGGGACTGAAAAGAGGGGAGTCAAAAGGGGTTAAAAAGATGAGGAGAGAGTAACGAGGAAGTGATGGAGAAGTAAAGAGAGAGAGGAAGAAGAGAGGAGGAGTGGAGGAGAATGCTTACATAATGGAAGAGAGAGCTTACATAATGGAGCGACACCAATCTGCATACTGTGCGGGATCAGGCCATTATATAATGGCCCAATAAAGAGGAATAATGTTGTTTACTAAGGCAAGGCGATATTTACAGAGCACTTAGAGGCAGACAGACTCCAGGCCTGCTAATGGCTGCCGACTGCTGCTCTCTCTTTCCATCTCTCCTTCATTCATTTTCTCTCATCCTTTTCTACCTCCCTGTTAAATATGCTTGGCATGTTTCCATCCCTCTCTCCACCCTCAAGATGTTCTGTTGGAGCTTCTCTGATGGAACAATGAGTGGTTACCCTCTCACCTGTGTGTGTGTGTGTGTGTGTGTGTGTGTGTGTGTGTGTGTGTATGTGTGTGTGTGTGTTTGTGTTTGATCTCTCACCTCCCCTCCTCCTCTCCCTTCAGCGCCGTGAAGCTGAATGTAAGTAAATCTGAAAGACACACATAACCGACAAAAAAATAACAAAAAGAAGATGGAATTAGAGCTCAGATAGTCGGACTGACAGATAGATAGATAGATAGATAGATAGATAGAAATATGGAGACAGCTTGTCTGTCTCTGTCCAAAGGTAACAAAATCCACCAGCACATCTAAAGTCAACCCTATGTGTGGTTAGGTTCAGTGATGGACTCAGTATGTTTGAAGGGCAGGGGCGAAAAGGAAAAAAGGGGACCTACTGCATGACATGGGGACAAGAGGGCAGCCAAAAGGGCACATGCACTCGTTTTCATCCAATAGGGCACATCGTCTTGTTTTGAGGGCACTGGGGGGACAGTCTGACCCCCCCAGTGCCACAGTCCCACCAATTGGTTATAGTTGGGAAAAGATCTTCTTTTTCTTTTTTCTTTTTCTTTTTCTTTTTTCTTCTTTTCTTTTTTCATGGCACTATCCCCACTGGAAAAACTGACGAGTCACTAAAAAACATCCATGTTTGGGGGCTAAACAGCTGCAGGAAACATAGCCATGACTTGCTAAATCAGGGTTTCGCGTTTTTGTTGGTCTTGAACAGTGGTCTGCAGCTTGGCAGGCATCTCACCGAGGTAACACACCATCCAACATGCACTCTACCTCTCAGTGGATAAGGAAAGATTCTCCCCCAATAAAGCCTTTAACAGGTTTTTTGGAGGAACTTTTTACAGTATTGAAACCAGCTCATATACTACGTCACTTTGGAAACGTTGTTATGATGAAACATACAATGCCAACATTTGCTTCTGGCGACTGGACTGCGTGACGAGGTGAAACCCAGGGCAAGACAATTCACAAAGCACTTACTCACTTACTGCTTGTTAACATTTTTAAAGCATTTAAATTTATAAGTTTACTAAAAACTGATGAAACTGAAGGTGTCATAAATCAGCCACAGCATATATAAGTAACATATCTATCAACTCCTCTCTCCTCTCATATGGATTATCACAGCTGGCCACTCAGAAGATTTTCATGAAAAAAATCCAACATTCATTTCTACACTCAAATCAACGAATTGATTAGTCTCAGAAAACTGCAAAACTCCGAATCAGGTTTGAAAAGTCCAAAGTGACGTCTTCATATGTCTCATTTAGTCCAACCAAAATTTCATTTACAGCAATATGAAACAGAGAAAGCAGCAAATATTCACAAATAAATTATGAGTAATTGACAAATAAACAGTAAAGGAATGATGGCTAAAGGATAAATCAATGATAATATTAATTAAGATAGATACTGAGTGAGCTGTAAATCTGGGTTTCAGCTTTCTATTTGCAGACTTCTCATCTTCTTCACATCCAATCTTCTTCCAATCCTTCTCTCCATCCCTCCTCCACCTCCTCCTCATCCCTGAGTTTTCATTTTCTCTCCATCTCTCTTTATCCCTCCATCTCTTCTTGTCAATAACTGTGTCTCAGGGCTCAGTGACTCATCTGTACTTCTCTCTCTGTTTGGTTGGCTGTTTCTCTCTTTTTTTTCTCTGTATCACTAACTAAATATAAGTCCATAATCCTCCTTTCTTTCTCTCTCTTTGTCTTTCTCTGGATGTCTCTCTCTCTCTCCTTCAACAGACCCACAATCCGCCCGTCTGTCTCTCTTTATCTGTCTTTCTGCTTCCTTCCCACATACACTCAGGTCTTTTTCAGATGGAGATTAAAATGACTTTGACTTTGTTTTATTTTAGTCAAAGGGTTTATGAGGAGCCACTGGCAATGTTATGCTGCAAATTATATTCAAAGGCCTCCTCATAAAAATAGATATCAGGAAACAGCAGAGCCTGAGTTGGGATTTCACTGCTTTCTGTTTATGTGCATTCATGAGATTTATTTAGCACATAAGCTGTGCAGAAAAGTGTGAAAATAAACTACTTCAAATATATAGACACATAGATAGATAAATGTATTAGAACTTTCTGAAATCCAATATGTACCTTACAGCAACGGTCAGATAAATAAACCTATATACCTTAACTTTAAACCTTACAGGAAAAAAAAAAATTCTTTTATCATTTTACAATAATGAAACCACAGCTCAGTCACCATAAGATAATGTTGGTGCTGTATGTTTATGCAAACCACAAATACATTACATCTGTATGTTTCATACATATTGTAGCAGCGTTTCTGAAGTGAGAATTCTGTTTACATGTATATGAGCTGACTTTGTCATTGAGAGGTGGAGGGGATGGTGGACGGCGTGTCGCCTAGGCGAGACTCCTGCCAAGCTGCAGATCACTGTTCAAGACCAACAAACAACAACACTGCTTGTTCTTTAGCAAGCCAATGTTCCATTGCCTGTTGGAATAGTGCCACAAAAACCAGGTATATTTAAGCTGAAACCTCATCTTTCCCAAACCATAACCAGTACTTTTTGTGTCTAAACCAACACACGTTAACCACAGCACTGTTTAAATGTAAAGTTTCAATGTATCTGCATAATAATGTACAAATGTAACATATCCATGGTTTGCAGAAACGCAAAATGCAAACACTTATTTTTGCATTTAGGTTGTAAAACCACCTTTGAAAGCAGTGTTGGAAGAAAGTACTCAGATCTCTTACCTAAAAATAGTAATACCACAGTATAGAAATACTCTGTTACAAGTAAACAGCTGTGGCTCAGAGGTAGGGTCAACCACGAATTGGGAGATCAGTGATTTGATCCCCGGCTCTTCCAGTTCACATGTTACAGTATCCTTGGGATCCTGAACCCACAATTGCTCCTGATGGCAGTTTGAATGCTCCTGATGGCTGTGTGATTGCGTGTGAATGGTTAGTGAGTAGCAGGTGGCACCATGTACAGTAGCCTCATCCACCTGTGTGTGTGAATGGGTGAATGTGACATGTAGTGTAAAAGTGCTTTGAGTGGTCAGAAGACTAGAAAAGCCTTCCATAAACGTTCAGCATTCAAAATCTTATTGAAGTGAAAGTACAAAAGTATGATCATCAATGTATACTTGAAGTACAAAGAGTAAAAGAATTCATTATGCAAATAAGTCCATTTCAGAGTAATATGTATTTCGTCATTGGATTATAAACATGCATTAATGTGCTCATCACTTTACTGTTGAAACTGGCAAATGCAGGGCTTCCTTGTTACTATACACTGCTGGATAGCAGTCAAGTATTAATTATGTCCATAACTAGAATTACTGCCTTGTGGTTGTATGCCTCTGTACACCAGTCAAGTTGCTTTTATAGTTTCCATCCATTTCTGTGAAAACATGGATGCTTCATACACATCTTCCCATTAGTGGCACAGTTACAAGGTGGACACTCAAGAGTGATGTCACCAATTCAGTATCTGACCAAATATCTATCCTTCTGTTCCTGAGATATGATGGTGAGCAATGGCCAGAAAAGTGTTTTTGCATGACGTCGCAGTGCAGTTGACCTTTGCCCTTTTGGACATATAATGTCATCACTTCATCATTATATTCGATTAGAAATTTCTGTGAAATTCAATTGTAATTTCTGTATAAATTCTCAAGTTTTGGCTGGGTTTGTGATGTCACAGTGACCTTGACCTTTGACCTTTGACCACCAAATTCCAGTCAGTTCATCCTTGAGTCCAAGTGGAAGTTTGTGCCAAATTTGAAGAGATTCCCTAAAGGTGCTCTTGAGAAATCGGGTTCATGAGAATAAGATGGATGCAAGGTCACAGTGGCCTTGACCTTTGACCACCAAATTTGTATCAGTTCAAAATTCAGTCCAGGGCAACTGTAGTGACCAATCTGAAAAAAATTCCCTGAAGGCGTTGTTGAGATATTGAGTTTACAGGAATGGGACAGACAGACAACCTGGAAACATCATGCCTTTCGCCACGGCTATCGCCGGTGTAGAGGCAACATGATAATTTATTTGTTGATTATATTTGTATTATTAATCCAAATCTGCAACGTAACTACTGTTTAAAGGTATCAAATAAAAGTAGTGAAGTAAAAAGTACATTTCCCACTGGGATGTAGTGAAGTAAAAATATAAAGTAGCAGAAAATGTAATACTCAAGTAAAGCACACGTACCTCAAAACTGTGCTTAAGTATAGTACTTGTGTAAAGGTACTTAGTTATTTTACTCATACTGTTTGAAAATGAAATCAAGGAATGTGTTAGATTTTGGTGGATTTGTGGATCAACATGGACTGTGTACAGTAGATGATTATCCCACTGTTTCCTGGTGCTCACATCTCAAATAAAATAGTTAAACTGGGAACTTAGTTTCTTCTTTTAGCATTGACATGTCGGCAATGCATGAAGTACTTGTCAACACTTTATTTTATTTTTTTAACAGAACCTCATGCACGTCCACTGTTTTGCCCTGAGGTGCATTCGTTGTCTTGCTATGATGCTGGAGGGATAATGATTTCTGAGTCACGGAATGGGAGAGGAGGTGAGGAAGCACAAGTTAGCATGATGATTATGACCCTGGGATTATGACTGCTGTCATGGCTGCTGCAGGCAGGGACCTCTCAATTTTCTATCTTATACACATATCTTTGGTGGAATGCTATGTTAACATGCTCTGATGAAGATACATAAAGTGATTTTATGTGTGTGTGTGGGGGGGAGATAAAGACATACTGTTTCTTTGTTGCTGAGTGACCAAAGGAACACTCCCTGTAAACCTTTAGAAATCCTGATGAATGTGAGGTGTTTGAACACACTGGTTTTACTCAGAGATGTTTCCCAGCATCCTCCAATAGCAGACTGCTGGGTAGCTCCCAGTGTGAACGTGTCAGTGGATGAATGTGAATGACGTTGTCCGTTTACTCTCCCTGGATACATGAGGGTAAAAATAAAAGCCACTGTGTGGTGAGACCAGCAGGTGTCACTGTGACTCTGTGCCGGCCCACTGCCTGCCAGCCTCGGTGGAAGCTCTGTGGCAGTCTCTAACAGTTTAGTCACTGTGCCATCGTGCTGCTTGGTGCCAGGCGCGGATAATAAAAGCACACTGAATGAG